CGGTGGCCCGAACCAGTATAAATCTTGTGTCTCATGTTCTTTGGGTTCGTTGAGCTAGGCCGTGTGATCGTAGAGCGTGCGAGCTAGAGTGGGGGAGTGATCTTTGTGCGCACCCTAGTGTTCGAACCTCAAGGGTTTTGCCGGAACCCGAAATCCGACAGGGGCCACCTAGGACTGAACCCAAAAAGGGTGTTGGTCGGAGTGGCCGGGAGAATGTCATGGCAGTAGGTTGGTTTTGTCGGAACACCATTGGTCCACTAGAATGGGAGTGCAAGGCCATGGGTTCCGTGGTGTGATTAAAGTGCGCTACCTCTGCAGACTGTGTGTGTTAAATCTATCGATAGTAGTGTCCTCGGTCATGGGCACAATTCATAGTAGGTCACACTATCGGGTCTTGGTCGAAAGGGAGGATAAACCTTAAATAACTAATGTGATGATAATGTGCTATAAAGAATGTGGTGATTTGGACTATGAGATAGTCGCGAGAAGTCACGATGATGTTCTAATACGATCATGAGATGAGATCTCGGTAAGTCATGATTTTGCCTCAAGAGGCAGTGGATAAGTGATTGATGAACAGTATGTCTTCACGGGAGGTAACTGGTAGTTTATTTTCAGCATAGTTTCATGATGCCATGCCATGCTTTGATTGATATGCTAAATTATGCCATGATTGAGGTGATATGCCATGTTAAAAGTATATTTTGATATGCCATGTTATTGCCATGATAGTAAATGCCATGATGTTGATGCTTAATTTGATTTATGTCTATAGTTAATATCATGCCATGTCTAGTTTCTGTTACGAGGTAGGTTGTTGCATGCGCTTGGTTCTTGCTTTGTCATCTGTTCGTTTGGATGCTATGTATTTGGTTGTCTTGCAAGTACATTCAATGTATTGACCCGACGTGTCATGCCAGTTTGTAGGTCGTGTCTGGATTGTTTGCTCTTTGGTCGCGCTAGGCCGTAACCTTGCCAGTCTTGTGAGTTGGGGAGCCCAGCCAGAGTTGATGAGCCTCCAAACCAAGACTTCCGCCGCCATTTATATAGCCTTAGAGCTATGCCAGATGACTGTATTCATCAAGGATGTAATCCTATATACATGTATTTGATGAATATTCTTGTGCCTGGAATGCTGTATCATGGACCTGTCGTGCGTCAGGTGTTATCCTGGGCTGACGTGCAAAGGCCCCAGCTCCATGCGGATCGGGGTGCCACACTATTTAAGCAACCAATTGTGATATCATATTCTGACTCTGTTCCTAGAAGTAACAAATTCTATTTACCAATTTATGTGCACTATATATTCTCCTGCCATGTTCTGAATAAATAATACATCTCCACCTTTTAAGCAGGATATGTTGGATGCATAGTGAACGATCTGTATGTTACTAAGCGTACCAAATTTCATTGGAAGGACTTGAAGCATGTCATAAACTTTGTTGATAATCTGAGAGAGATAGCACATCATATGAATGCTGGATTTTGGATGAGATTAATTAGACCTATGATGCACACACTGAACAAGACCAATTGTGTGCACAAAACACTAGTAAAAAGTCTTATTTTAATGTTGATGCTCATAAACTATATATATCTTCAATGATATGTTACAATTTGTTTTTATTCTACATGTCAACAGAAATTGCCCCATGTAGCAGTTCCTGGATCGATTTCCCGGCGTGGTCGAATTACACTTGTGCCTGCTAATAACGCCAAAGTGACTGCTAGGTACTGCATTTCCCGCAAAAATGGAACCATTCAAATTAACAAGTTCTTGCTTCTCATGGCAATGCATCCATATTGGAAAATTTGAGACACTGTTCTACTCATGCTCTACCAAGTCACATGAGGGCTCTTCCTTTTCATTGACGAGATGTCGAGTCATCGTGATCAAGCTACTTCTAGTGGATAGTTGTGGTGGTAGGCTCCCAGCCTCTTAAAATGTGCTAGCTGTTACTATATATGTTAAGTATGTAGATATGGACCATATGGTTGTTGGCCCTTAGCCTCTTAAAATGTGATAGCTGTTACTATGTTAAGTATGCAGATATGGACCATATGGTTGTCAAAACTGTGTTACGAAGATCCTCCTTTTGTCGAATAGTGTAACCACTATATATATGTTAATCAAATGTTGTTACCCAAGTTCATAAATTTTCATGGAAAGTATTAGTATCGTACACACTTCATTGAGTTTAAGCATGTGCCCGATGTCCAGAAGGCATTTGCATATTAACTGTCCATATTTCAAATTCACACACATGTTAACATAAGGAAATGTATGTGTAACATACTAATCATCGCACACAAGTATTCACAGACGCATCGTGTGCGATCCTCATAGCCACCGCAAGCAACTAGATTGCATTTTTCAAAGTTTTTTGTACACACACAATCGCACACGAACTAACTATATTGACCGTCTGTGTTGTAATTTCTCATCACAAATAGTTCATCCGAGATGGCTGTTTGCCACGTATCACACACATCTTGTTTACACGACTCGTTTGTGTTCTTTTGGCTCATCGCAAACAGTTCATCCATGTGAACTGTATGCCGCATATCACACACATCTTGTTAAGTTGAACCATTTCTGTTGTGTTCCCTAATCGAAAACAGTTCGTCCGTGTGAACCGTATGCCATATATCGCACACACATTGATATGGCTGTCCGTTTCTGTTGTTCTACCTCATCGCAAATAGTTCGAATGGATTAACCGTGTGTCCTGCATCGCACACACATTGATATGGCTGCCCATTTCTATTGTTCTGCCTCATCGTAAATAGTTGAATGGATTAACCGTGTGCCCTGCATCGCACACGCAACTAAAATCTGAACAGTGTTAGATGGCTCTACCATCGCAAACGTTTTGCACCTTTTTGACGGTTTTTTACACCATCGTTTTCGATTATTGCATATCATACAGTTTCGACAAAGGGTCTCTAATCGTAGTGTCGCGTTAGCAGTATCCTGTAGTAGTGACTTGACTAAATAAAAACCTAGCCTTTCCCAATTTTCGTTTTTGGAAAGTTTTGGCAATTCATACAAGTCAAGCAACACCCTACACATGCAAGTATACATAGGAGGAAGCGGAAAGTAAAGACTTTGCATATGAACGTAAATGAGGGACCAGAGAAATCAAACACAATGAAGGAACGGTGATTTTTGATGTGGTTCCGATAGGTGGTGCTATCGTACGTCCATGTTAATGGAGACTTCAACCCACATAAGGTAATGGCAGCGCGAGTCCATGGAGGGTTCCACGCACAAAAGGTCCACAAAGAAGCAACATTGTCTATGCCATCATATCTTCCATCCTCGAAGGACTAGCCTCACTCGGGGTAGATCTTCATGAAGTAGGCGATCTCTCCTTGCCCTTACAAACTCCTTTGTGAATGTTGAACAATTTTGGAAAACACAACATTTTTTTGAAAAAATGGGTAAATAAATTTTAAATTTTTATGGAATGGAAACAAAAATTTAAATTTTTGAATTTTTTTTCAAAAAGCGAACTAAATTGTGGAATTCTAAACATTTTTAGAAATTTGAACCAATATTGAAATTCTGAACATTTTTTTAATTTTGAATTTACGAAAAAAGGAAAATAAACTTGGAAGGTAGAAAAGAAAAAGAAATAGGAAAGAAAATGAGAAAGGAGCAGAAAAGGAAAATATGAAGCCCTGACTATTTGCCGCCACATACTTCAAATAGGGTTTTCCAAGTTGCGTGTGCAGGAAAATATAGTGGGCTTGCTTCGCTGGGCCACAGTGTGCGCCCCAGGTACTTTCCAATATCTTAATGGCGTAATATTTTTTCCTTTTAAGTTATTCCTTTTTACGATGATGTTTAGCTATTCTATTAGATGGTAATAAGCAGAACTAATATCACTTCATACGAAGATTTGTGTATGTGGTTCACATTGGTTGTTTGAATATTGGCATGGTCAACGACTAGTGAACAATAATCATTTGGATATCCATGATCACGAGGTGTTGCATTCATGTACATATGCAAGTTATATATGTATTAATATGAGAAGATAAAAATTAGCATCAACATATTTGGTAATAGGGAGAGCATTAATACGAGGATATATGAAATGAGGATCAACATATTTGTGCATAGATAAACATTAATCATTTGGTTACCTATGGCCTAGTTGTGTTGCATTCATGGATTTATCTAGTGGATGTATTACTACCATGATATCCAAAGTGGGCATCGATGGGCCTATGTAGTAAACGTATTAAGAGAAGGAGATCCAAAGTGAGCGTCAACATATATACAGATCTATGCATAGAGTGGGATATTAATCATTTGGATATCCACCACCAGACTGCATACTACATTTATGAAGTCCCACTATATAAAAATTATTAATATCATTTGGATATCCATGATCAAGAGTTCTTGCATTCACGTACATGTGCAAAGTTAGATGTGTATTAATATAAAAAAGATCACAAATTAGTATCAAAATTTGTGAATAGAGAGAGCATTAATACGAGGATATCCAAAATGAAGATTAACGTATTTTTGCACAAATAAACATTAATCATTTGGTTACATATGGCATAGTTGTGTTGCATTCATGGACCTATCTAACGAACATATTACTACCATGATATCCAACGTGGGCATTGAGGTATTTATGAACAACCAATACATATATGCATACATTAAACATCGAACTTTTTGATATCCATGATCGAGCTATGTTACATTAATGGGCCTACGTAGTAAACATATTAATACAAGGAGATCCGAAAGGAGCGTCAACATATGTAGATATCTATGCATGGTGTGAATATTAATCATTTGTATATCCATCGCCAAACTGCATAATACATTTGTGAAGTCACACTGTATAAGATTTATAAATACCTAGTATCACCTCGATCCATCCAACCATCCATCCATTCATACATTCATATACAATTGTCCCCAACACTCTTAGTTTGAATACAATTCAAGGCTTCTAGTTGAGCTTGCAGCAATGGCAATAGCTCTGACGACCACCATCATCTTCTCTGCCATAATCATCATGCTCTTTTCCTCAGCCACCACTACTCAGACCAACAACGACATTGGTGGCAAGCCCGAGAGGACCCATTTCATTGTTGAAGCATGCAAAAATGCTTCAATCAACTCCTCTGAATACAATCACATCACAGAAGAATTCTGCGTCTCAACCCTCCGGCAGGACAAGCAGAGTGATGAGGCAAAGGACCTTCGTGACCTGGTCCTCATTGGTGTAGACATTCTCAAGGGACATATCATTGCTGCAAGTGGCAAGGTCAAAGAAATGTTGCACAATGCCAAGAATGGCACATCAATAGCACACCTCCTTCGTTTGTGCGAGCTGCACTATGACGCCGCAGTGACCATCCTCAACATCTCCAACACCATGCTCAAGGACAACCACGGGCCCAAAGGTGGTGAAAAATATGGACCCCCGTCCTATTATTTACCCGACTGTGTGGGTATGGCATCCAGCCTTGTCGACTACTGTGGGCATGAGCTTGTTGATATGCCTGGGCAGGAGGCGTTGTACAAACAAAATATTGAGCTTGGCGATCTGGGTAGCCTCAACGTTGCCTTGGTGGCGCCATATTGGGATTTAACCCAAAATTAGTATTTACCTTTAGAGTAATAACAATAATAATGTTGTTGTGATATCCATTTTACTTTCTTCGTGCCTGATTATGATAGTTTCTATATGCGTGCATGGTGTGAAGATGTCCCATCGATGTCCACTCCCTGAACGCACTTATTCTATATGTACACGTTTCCACAAGGCACCTAGCATGACATGACAGACATGAGATGCCAAGTAGGATCTGACCTGGCCATCTCAATATGGGTAGTTTAGATGGGCCGAGGCCAATAAATTTTGGCCATTTAGCTCAATATCATTGGGCCATATCAAAAGCTAGTTTAGATAGGATATGAAGATTCCTTTCTCTGTAAACCGACTCTATACAAACCCTAGCCCCCTCTAGTATATATATAAACCAGAGGGTTTAGTTCGTAGATGCTGTGATAATCATACATGCTAGACATCTAGGGTTTAGCCATTACGATCTCATGGTAGATCAACTCTTGTAACCCCTATACTCATCAAAGTCAACGAAGTAGGACGTAGGGTTTTACCTCCATCAAGAGGGCCCGAACCTGGATAAACATCGTGTCCCCTGCCTCCTATTACCTTTGATCCGTAGACGCATAGTTCGGGACACCCTACCCTAGATCCGCCAGTTTTGACACCGACATTGGTGCTTTCATTGAGAGTTCGTCAGTGCTATCAACTAAGGATTCGATGGCTCTTTCGATCAATAATGATACCGTTTCGGTGGAGATTCCCCTCGGGCCAAATTTTCGTATTCGGGGGCTTCGCGCTGCATGCCAACTCAATTGGCCACCTTGAGGAGATCGACAGCTACGCCCCTGGTCATCAGATCAGTTTCGGGAACTTAAACTATGTCGCTGATATCTGAGGAGATTTGATCTTCGAAGGGTTCGCGGTCCCAATTGCCGCTCTGGCCTTAGATCAGGAGCAGGCCAACATGTCCGAAGACGGGAGTCTAAAACCCGTCGGACTCTTTGCACTTATGGAGCTTGCTGCCGAAGAAGCACCGGACACTCCGCATGACTTTAGTTCTAAACTCTCGAGGTCCGTGTCAAGTGTGCGCCGCCAGGAGACTCGGACTCCGGACAGCCCCACGGACTCTCGTTTCTTTGTCCAACCCTCACCTTTAAACGAGGCCCTGGACTTAATGCGATCACTCGCCATTACGGAAGGATCGTGTAACACCCACGATGCAGCTATATCTCCCACGTGTCGGGGCATGACTTAGAGGCATAACCGCATGGTAGGCATGTCGCAAGAGGGGTAATCTTTACACATCCCATGTACTGAATAAGGAGGGATATAGAGTTGGCTTACAATCGCCACTTCACACAATACATAAATATAGCATACATAATCTAGAATACAATCAAGGTCCGACTACGGTACCAAATAAAGAAAGACAACCCCAAATGCTAGATCCCCGATCGTCCCAACTGGGATCCACTACTGATCAACAGGAAACGAAACAAAACAATGAACAAGATCTTCATCGAGCTCCTCCTTGAGCTCGGTTGCGTCACCTACACTGGTATCATCGGCACCTGCAACTGTTTTGGAAGTATTTGTGAGCCACGAGGATTCAGCAATCTCACACCCGCGAGATCAAGACTATTTAAGCTTATGGGTAGGAAAGGGTAGTGAGGTGGAGCTGCAGCAAGCACTAGCATATATGGTAGCTAACTTACGCAAATGAGAGCGAGAAGAGAAGCAAAGCACGGTCGTGAACTAGAAGTGATCCTGAAACTACTTACGTTCAAACATAACACAAGAACCGGGTTCACTTCCCGGACTCCGCCGAGAACAGACCATCACGGCTACACACACGGTTGATGTAATTTAATTAATTTAAGTGTCAAGTTCTCTACAACCGGATATTAACAAATTCCCATCTGCCCATAACCACGGGCACGGCTTTTGAAAGTTCAAAACCCTGCAGGGGTGTCCCAACTTAGCCCATCACAAGCGCTCACGGTCAACGAAGGATATTCCTTCTCCTAGGAAGACCCGATCAGACTCGAAATCCCGGTTACAAGACATTTCGACAATGCTAAAACAAGACCAGCAAAGCCGCCCGAATGTGCCAACAAATCCCGATAGGAGCTGCACATATCTCGTTCTCAAGGCACACCGGATTGTCCAAACTTCCGGTAGGCCAGCCCAGAGTTGCCCCTGGTGGCCACCGGCGGCTGACAGGCTGGACCAACACTCAGAGGTGCACTGGCCCAGGGTTTTAAAATAAAGATGACCCTTGAGTCTGCAAAACCCAAGGGAAAAAGGCTTAGGTGGCAAATGTTAAAACCAAGGTTGGGCCTTGCTGGAGGAGTTTTATTCAAAGCGAACTGTCAATGGGGTCCCATTCCCCCAACCGTGTAAGGAACACAAAATCAAGGAACATAACACCGGTATGACGGAAACTAGGGCGGCAAGAGTGGAACAAAACACTAGGCATAAGGCCGAGCCTTCCACCCTTTACCAAGTATATAGATGCATTAAAGTAAATAAGATATAATAATGATATCCCAACAAATATCCATGTTCCAAACATGGAACAAACTTCAACTTCACCTGCAACTAGCAACGCTATAGGAGGGCTGAGCAAAGCAGTAACATAGCCAAACAACGGTTTGCTAGGAAAGGTGGGTTTGAGGCTTGACATAGCAATATGGGAGGCATGATATAGCAAGTGGTAGGTATCGCGGCATAGCAAAAGAGCGAACAACTAGCAAGCAAATATAGAAGTAATTTCGAGGGTATGGTCATCTTGCTTGAAATGAACTCAGAGTTGTCGAAAACTTGATCCTCGTTAGCATACTCAACGGGTTCCTCGATCACGTACTCGTCTCCTGGCTCTACCCAAAGCAAGAACGTAAGCAAAGGACCAACAATCAATCACGGTGCAATGCGCAAGCAACATGATGCAAAACATGGCATGATATGCGAGATGTGATATGCAATGCGTATGCGTGCTCTGGAAGGAAAAGATAGATCAAGGCATCAACTTGGCAAACCAAGTGTGCCGCTGGAAAGATGAGATGATTTTGCTTGGAATCGATATAAAGATCACCGGAATCGGATGCACGGTTTGCAAATGGCAAGCAAAACAATAATGGCATAGTTCTGCTATTAACAGCACGATGCCATCTAGAATGCAACAAGAAACTAAGCTACTGCACTCCAAAATAGCAACAAAACACATGGCAGTGATCTACTCAAGATGCTTGACAAAAGACGAACAATGAGCTACGGCTAAATCACACAAGAGCAGGTTCAAACAAGCATGGCAAAAGTGCAAAAGATATCAGCATCACAGACTTAGTGAAAATACTAACATGTTAGGAATTAATATCAGGAAGCAATGTTTAGAGCAAGCAAACAACATGCTACAGGATCAGATCATAGCAATACAAGGCATGGTATGAATCTACTCAAAGCATAGCACAAAAGTCCTTACTGCCCATAAGCCAACACTACTAGGGAAAAGCCTATACACAGAATCTTACCAGTAGCGCTGTACAAAATCAAACGCTACTGCTACTTAGTAGCAGCGCGCATAAATAAACCGCGCTACTGCTATGACTTTTGCAGTAGCGCGTACTAGCGAAAAGCGCTGCTGCTATGTTTGAACTGGGCACGCATGGCTAGCCCAACCTAGCAGTAGCGCGTATACTGGCCCAGCGCTACTGCTACTCTCCTTGGCTGTAGCGCGCTTACGTGTAAGGCGCTGCTGCTACCGGAAATAAAATAAAGTGAAAAACAAGTAGAAAAGTAAATGAAAATGGAAGAAATAGAAAAAGGAGAAAGGAAAAAAATAAAATGTAAAGAAAAATAAAAGAAAAAGGGGAAAAAGGAGAAAGGAATAGCAGTAGCGGGTTTCAGGAAACGCACTATAGCTAACTTAGCTATAGCGCGTTTTCGGAAACACGCTACCGTTACGTTTCACTTAAATAGCGGTTCCCCTCCCCCCCGCCCACCACGTCTTCCCCAAATCCCTCGCCATCGCCGCCGTCTCCCCAATTCACCATCGCCCCACTTCGTCGCCGTCTCCTGCCGACGTGGACGCCCGCAACCTCACCGTCTCCCCCCGAGGCCGCCGTCATCCTCACCGCCGCCGCCCGAGGCCGCCCTCAGCCTCACCGCCGCCGCGCGAGACCGCCCTCGACGTCACCGTTGGCACCCTCCACCTCACCGCCGCCCGAGCCCGCCCAGGACCGCCGTTGCCCGTGCCCGAGCCCGCCCTCTCTGCCCCTGCCTCCGTCACCGAGCACCTCCCCGCCACCGTCTCTCCCCTCTCTGTAAGTCCCCCACCCCTCCCCCCACTCATCTCTCTCTGCATTTTAGAGGAAAAATTAGTAGAGCAAAAGTTTGTTTATAGCAAAAAATTTAGTTTAGAGCAAAGGATGTTAAGTAGTAGATGTTAGAGCAAAAATTAGTTTAGAGGAAAAAATTTGGTTTACAACAAAAGTTAGTTAGGGCAGTAGGGTTTAATTAGGGTAGATGGTGCTTGTATAGTATATAGTGATACTAGTAGATGTTTATTAGGTTAGGGCAATAGTGGTACTAGTAGATGTTAATTATATGTTTTTCAGTTAGGGCACTAGAGTTTTGCTAGGTTAATTAGGTTAGTAGTGCTGCTAGTAGTAGTGGTATAGTAGGTTAATTAGGTGATGTTAAATGAATAACCTAAATGAATGAAATTAGTAGTTAACTAAAAAAATCCTTTCATCATTATAGAGCTCTAAAGTTAACTGAATTTTGTTCTATTAGTAGTTAAATGAATTTTGTTCTACAATTTGTTTTTCAATTAGCTTGTGAAATTTGGACATGTGGTTTCTCGTGTATATTTGGACATGTGTTGCGGTGTCGAAGAGGGATATTTGAACACTGTTTCTAGGGACTGATGCTGAGTGGCCTATGTTTTGCCGGAATGTTGATTCATTTCTGTTCTGAAAAATTTCAGGTTTTCGATTTGTCCATTTTTTAGCAAAGGTCATTCCGAAATTTTC